ACCGACAGGTGGGACTCTTCTTTCACACTGATGAGTGCGGTGGGCAGAAGCCTTCTGGTATGGGACAAGCTCAGTCTTTGAGGGAACCAGTCCCTGACCATCTCTGCCAGCCAGAACCTCTAGGTTCCTGCTGAGGAGGTCCCTTGCCTCACGTTGGCAGGGGAGTAAGGGGTGGCCCTGGCCCATGATTAAGAGGCGACTTGCCAGCTTGCTGGGTCAGGGAGCCCTTGGAAAGCATCCGAGGTGCGCCCGAGGCCGGCCAGGTGTATAAGGTCTGGAAAAATTAACAACCACAGGTGGGATGGGACCGGCGGGCACTGAGCTCAGGTGAGGCCTCCACTCAGCATTTTCCCCACATCTCCCCACTCTTTTTAGTAAACCCTGGAAGGTTTTATTACAAAAACGAAACCTGTGCTCTGCCGGGGTCTGCCTCGCCACCTCGAGCCCAGGTTGCCAGCCCCTCCGCGCCTGTGCAGAGGCCTTCCGTCGTGGTCGTGCCTCTCCGCCCGGCCCCGGGGCTCTGCCGGGCGCCTGCGACCCTCCCCACCCCGAGGCAGGAATCCCCGGCCGGCCGCCGGAGCCCGGACCGGCCCCGCCGCGTCAGCGGGTGCCTGGCGTCCGGCCCGCCGGGTCCGCAAGGAGGAGCCCGCGAGGCGGCCGCCAAGGGGCTGCGCTTACCTCAGCCGGCGCGGCCCACGGCCCCGGGACCCCGCTTCCCAGCCGGCAGCCACCGCCGCCGCAGCACTCCGAGCCTTTCGCCAGAAACGGCAACTGCGCGGGCTCTGCTCACGGTCTCTTTATTTTCCTCAACGACGGCGGGCAGGAAAGCGAAAGCGAAAACCTCCGGGGGGCGGGGGCGGGCCTGGGGCCGAGGCGCGGTGAGCGCGGGGCGCGCGGCGGGGGCCTCAGCCGGGGATGCGCGCGCCGGGCCGGCGACGACGGCGACGGCGTGAGCGCTGCAGCCCCGCGGCCCGAGCCCAGCTGAGCTCGCTCGGACAACGGGTTCCCCCTCTGTCCTCCAGTCTGTGCCCACTTGGGCCCGGCGGCTGGCAGCGGGCCCGGACCTGACCGCTGTGGCTCGAGGAAGGCGGGTGCTGCGGCTTGGCCGGCTGGGAGCTAACCTCTGAAGGGGGGCCCTGAGCGTGAGGTGTACCGGGCACTTCATCTTGGCCCGGAGAGAAATTAAAATGTCGGTGATGTCGGTGAAACGGCAGCCCCTTGATGTGATCGGAAGGCCCAGGGTTTGGGCTCTAGTGCCCATTAACACACCGGGATTTAGCGGTTCCAGGCTGTAAGCCGTGGCTCTGTGTGGCTGGCAAGACTATTTCACTACTTACCCCTGGTCTGCCCCCTTGAGGGATGGGCTATAATACTACGTATGATTAGAGGAAACTACACACAGGTAGAGAAGTCATGGGCCTTTCTGTCAGCCCTTAGGGGGGCTCCTTGAAGGCTGGGGGGTGGAAGGGGGTGTGTCTACCTGGCTGTCTGTGGACAGTGGGCAGCACTAGGCTGCCTCCCCTGCACTTGTCACAGTCTGGACTTCGTTGCCCTCAAAATAGAGAAGTGACTGCCCTGGTTTTCGGATGTAGCCTCAGACTTGGGCTGCCAGTTGGTCCCTGTGGCTTTGCCGTGGGGCGGGCTTTGTTTAGAGAACAGCACTGCAGCACTGCAGCACTGTGCGCGTCTGGCTGCTCCGAAACCACTGGCAAAACCCTGGATTCCAAACATGATTTGCTGTGTGTGTGTGTGTGTGTGTACATACAGCAGTCTGATAACTGGAATGAAAAGTAAAATAAACTGTTTAATCTACCCAGAGCCACTGTGGTTTTGCCTGTTTGTAAAGTCAACCCATTCCCTGCTTGGCCTGGTCCTAGGCTGGGATTGATGGGAAGACTCAGGGTGTTGAAGTATTTCCCTCAAGAATGGGCAAGGGCATGAGACAGGCCACATAATGGTCTTGGAAACTCTTAACAGCCTGGATTTCCCTCCTCAGAAGTGGATGCTTTTAGTCTGTACCGTGAAGGACTAGGAAAAAGAAAATTGTCAAGAAGGACAAAAGCTGGAAGTCCCTTGTTCGTCTAATAATTCTTGACTCCCATGCAAGAAAACTAGGATAAGATTTGCTTCTGTGTGAAGAGTAAATTGGGGGAGATGAAGGTGGACAAAAGAGAGGAAGGCAATCTCTGTGTTTACCTGGCTAGCCTGTAGGGTAGTGAGAGCCAGGGCTTGAAGCTTAACCAAGCTTCTTAGGAGCAGAACTGTGAACACAGGATTCTTGAGGCTGCCTGGTGAGAACACTTGTTTTGTACCCATGTAATGTGGAGTGTGATGGTCAGAAGGTGGCTTGGTAAGTTTACAATTAAAATCACATGAGTTATCTGATACCAGTGTTCAATGATATCAGGCTGGAGCAGTCTCACATCTTTCAGCCATGTCTTTACACTTGTCAAAACCTGACCGCTCATCCCTGGGGTCTGGCCAGCCCTTCTCCTGTCATGAAATCCTCCAGACAAACTTACCAAGCAAAGAGGAGCTTCCTTTCACTCATAGTTCTGGGGACCCTTTTTTTTTTTAAAAAAAAAGATTTATTTTATTTTTATTGGAAAGGCAGATATACAGAAAGGAGAGACTGCTTTCCCGGGCCACAGGCAGGGAGCTGGAAGCGGGGCTGCCGGGCTTAGAACCGGCGCCCATATGGGATCCCGGGCATGCAAGGTGAGGACCTTAACCACTGTGCCATTGCACCAGGCCCTGGAGACCCTTTTATATTTGACACTTGATCAGGGTGGTAGATAACTGTGGCAAATGCATGCAGAGGAAAAGCCACATGGTGAGCAGGAAGGAGAGGAGGGCCCAGTGTGCCCAGCCCAAGCCAACCTTTATAACCACCCTCCTTGGACTGCCCACTACTGGCACACTTCCAGTGACCCAAGGACCTGCCACAACAGCTGGCTTCCTGAACACATGAGCCACCCTTGCATCCCTGGGGAAAATCCCACTTGGTCCTTGGTGATGACCCTCAGTGCCATCAACTTACCATGAGTGTGGGAAACAAATCATGTTCAAACGATAGCAGAACATGCAACATTCCTACTAGGTTACTGATTTGGTTTGCTAGTATCTTGTTGAGTATTTTTACATCTGTTCTCATAGACCTTTAGTATAAAGTTTTAGTTTGGCATTTTTGTCTGCCATTAGCCTTGTGAATGAGCTCCAAAGTATTCTCTTCCTTTCCATCCTCTGGAAGCATTTCAGAAGGAATGGTATTAATTATTCTTTAAAGGCTTACTAGAATGCACCGGGAAGTCATCTGATTCTGGGCTTTTGTTGTTGTTGGGAGGGTTTGGGCTATTCATACAGTTTTTTTTTTCTTATTTTAGTCTATTCATACTTTGTTTATCCTTTAAATTTTGTAATTTTTGCATTTCCAGGAGTCTTTCCATTTTCATCTAGATTAATTTGTTAGCTTATTCTGAACCTAGTACTGTCTTGTAATCCTTTTTGTTTCTGTAAGACCGATAGTAATTTTCTCAAGTAATTTGAGTCTTCTCATGTTTTTATTGGTCAAAACTTTAGCAATTTTATCTTTTCAAAGAATTAACTTTTGTCCAATTGATTTTCTGCAACAAACTAGACAGAGGGCTTAGATATTGCAACACTTGATTGGACCCCAGCAGCAGCAGTGACTCAGACCATTGCCCCATCATGGTATGGTCTCCCAGCACTGCGTGAAGCACAGCTTTCACCCTCAGAACGACAACAGCCACTGACACAAGAGTCAGAGAGAAAGTGGAGACACAATCCTTTGATGCCACAGGAGAAGGGGCTGGCAGGGACACCATTCAGATCCTGCAGGCCCTGGGAAGTCAGTTCAGCAGAAACCCAGGACAGTACCAGGCTTGAGGAGAGTGGTGGGGCCAACAATGTCTCACCGGGTGCTTTCTTGGGTCTGTGACATGGTGTGTGTAACTCAGGAGCTAAAATTCTGGAATTCACTATGGTTTCTAGCCCAATTTACCCCATAACAAGTTGTAAACAAAGACAGACACCTCTTGGCACCACAATGATCCCTGGTTCCCTTGGTTCTACCCCTGCCCCTAGCTGCTGCTGCAGTGAGCAAAGCAGCACCTCTGGGGGCTCCTGCCAGCATCTCCCCAGGGATCTGCTTTCCATCTGTGTGACAGAACCTGTCTGAACTCACAGGTGTGCAACATGGAACTGTGCAGGGCTGACAGCTGGAGCTGCCTCTGACACATGGGTGTCGACAAGTCAAGGGTGCTCACGCTTAGCCATGGTGCAGGTGGCGCTAAGATGCACAGGTCCTTGAGCAAGTGCTGGCTGGTCAGCCACACCACCCATGGCGCTGGCCACTCTAATCGTGAATCTTCGTCCTGGATCTCCCTCCATCCCTGCCCTTCTCCTATCCCTGACTCCTACTTCACACAAGTGCCAGTCTTGGGCTCTGCTCTCAGGCGAACCCAAGCTAAGACACCTGCACAAGGAGGCTGGCTCAGTCCATGGTCAGTTGGCAGGGGCAAATTCCGCTCTGCCTGTGAGACTAATCCCAGTCAGCTTCAAGGATCAACCCCAACTGACAGAGAGGTCAGCAGACGGTATGTTAGGTACACCCCGAATTCCGGAAAGGAAGATGGCGGGCAGCTGTTATTATTTAAAATAATCATTTTATGTATGAAAACTTCCTCATTTCCCAAGGCACTTCAGTAGCTTTCACAGAGATGTGTGGTTTTAACCAGGCAAGGCCTGAGGTTTACAAGTACCGCAGTGACACGATCAGCAAACAGCACAGCGTGTCTCCCAGTAACGCTGCGGCACCACAGCCAGCAACTCCACAGGACCATGAACACAATTTAGGTGGTCTTTTTCTTTCTTCTTTTCTTTTCTTCTCTTCTCTTCTCTTCTCTTCTCTTCTCTTCTCTTCTCTTCTCTTCTCTTCTCTTCTCTTCTCTTCTCTTCTCTTCTTTTCTTTTCTTTCATTTCTTTCCCCATGATCAAGTGTTACAAAAGGAACACACACAATGACATCAATTGTTGCTGCTCAGAACCATGTCATTGGCTGGTGGCAATTCAGGCCTTACACGGCAGCCACCAGAGGCAGCTACCAGAGGCTGGTGAAAGTATGATTCTGAGTAACAAAAATGAAACAAAACAACAACAACAACAACAAACAAGGCACAGACTAGAAGGCTGAGAAACCAGCCTTCCCAAAATCTAGACTGCAGGGCAAATAAGTTAAGGAGAAAGAGGCACAACAGACAGATGAACGAGGCCACAAAGTCCCTGGACAGTTTTGAGGGAGGAGGAGGCTCGTCTTCCTTCATGCCTCATCTAAGGCAGGCACTAGAGTGGCAACAAGCCTGATGTACACCATGGCAGAAAGTAAACCCTTGGGACGCGACAATGATGCACATGGGATGTGCCCACACAAGCCTGGAGCTTTGATCAGATGTAAACCTGTCTCCTGAGGCAGCAGTGGGGTCAGGAGTTTGTGGATCCCTGCTCCCTGGTGTCCCAGCCTCTGCCCAGGGCCCCTTGCCTTGACCACCTTGATGTGGGCTGAAGCCTGTGACCTTTAGCAGTGGTCCCAGTTACCATCCTATATGATGGAGACAAGGTGAGGGGTCAAATTCCCAGTGAAATTCTTTTCCTCTAAAATCCACTTTTACTGGGCAGCGGGGGCCAGGCAGGGGAAACCCTGCACTCTCTCCAGGTGGCCTCTTCAGGCAGGTTTCAGTGCCAAGTTCTGGCCTTCTTCCAGAGCTCATTAGGTCCAGTGCATCGTGCCCCCTGTAGTAGGGAGTGGCCACGGTGGCCATCAAGGCCTGTCTGCGAGCCGGTCACACGCAGGTTGACAGGATCCACAGCATACGCCCGTGTCCCTGGATGACCCGGGGTCTGCATGGCCTCCTGTGTCAGGGCGCAGTCATTCCCCTTCACTGGAGGCTGCTAAAACGCTGTGCTCTTAAGTATTGCCGGGCTCTCTTCGCTGTCTCTCAGTATCTTCGTGTGGTTTGGGTTGTGCCTGTATTTCAATCTATTTAAAAACAAGCCAGTCAGATGGCAGACACTGATCCTGGAAAAAGACGCCTGCTGGGTTAGAAGGACAGCAGAGGCTGGAAGGTCTCTGCCGGCTGCTGCCCCTGTCCCTGGGATTCCCATCCCCATGGACATGTATGCCTGGTGATTTCTGCTCAGTGTCAGACCAGGGACACACACTTCACCTTATACACCCTCTGGTGGACACGCTCTGGTGACATTCCACTGGGATGGCCTCCAAGGAGGACCCTGCCCAGCCCTGACCCAGCCCCACCACATCAGCCCTGAGAAGGAAGAGGCCCTTACCCTTTGACCCTCAGCATCTGGTCAATGGTGTCTGGTAGGGGAACGCCGAAGCTCTCTGGGAGGAACAAGGTGAGGATGGCGGTCAGGATGGTCAGGCTCCCCATGAGAATGTAAGGCAGGAAGCGGTCGTAGGCACCTGCGGTGAGGACAGAGGCCCCGGCTTGCTGTTAGACTTGTACCCTACTGTCCCTTTATCACCCAGGACTCTCTAAAGGGAACTGCCTACCCTACTGTCCTACTGTCCTCAGCACTTGCCATGGTTCAAGCTGTAGGACTGTGACTTGTTCCCATGCAGGCGTAGGGCGGGGTGGAGCTGAACATGATTATTCTTATTCCCCTGTGTTGGGTTTCTGAGTACCAGCAGGTGCTTATCTGGGCACAAGCATGTGCTCCCTTGCGCGACATGCGGCAGACTCTGTGTGGTAGGCTTTCAGCCAGACCAGATGATGACGCTGCTTGCTGGGCAGCGCCATGTGCTCACTGAGCATCCTTGAAGTAGGCACCATTCCTTTGGAGAGGCGATGGCTGGGCACGTGGAAGGAACAGCAGCCACCGTGGGGATGTGACTTTGAGGGATTGTTGGTACCTGCCACATGGAATAGCATGAGTCATGTGGACAGAGCATGAAGCGCGGTGTGAAGTGCTCCATGGGTCAACAATTCAGAATTGGTCAGACCTCCAGAGTCAAGAGGGAACATCTTTGCCCTTCAGGTGTCTTATGGATGCTAATCCCAGCATGTGGGCGCTTGACCTAGCAGCTAGGATGCTGGTTAAATTGCCTGTGTCCCACACTAGGGTGACTATGTTGAGTACCTTTCTCTGGCCCCTGCCCCTAGCTTCCTGTTAGTGTGGACTCGGGGAGGCAGTGGTGATGGCTCAGATGACTGGGTCCCCAGCTTCAGCCCCTGCACAGTCCTAGCTGTGGGCATGTGGGGAGGGAACCAGCAGGTGTGAATTCTATGTTTTGTAGTGTCTCCCAAATCAGTATTTCTTCTTCTTTTTTTAAAGATTAATTCAAAGAAGTAAGTTCTTTAGGCAAGACCAGTGGCTTCCTAAACCACTCTGCAGTGCCTTAGGATGAACTGAATTCTACAACAGAAGCTAGAGGAAGCTTTAAAAAAATGCCAAACCATCTAGCTCATTAGCTAGTCCCAAGTTGGAATGGGAGTGTCTTCCCCTTCCGCATTGTGAGAGCTGGTGAGTGCTTCCATCCTGTTGCCCCAGCATGCCAGGGGAACCCTGGGACTTACCCAGGTACACGAAATAGGGTGACAGGATGCTGCCAAGACGGGATGCCATGGAGCTGACGCCCACGCCCATGTTTCTGACCACGGTTGGGTACAGCTCAGCCGTGTACACGTAGACCATGGAGAAGGCAGCAGTGACTCCAAACTTGCCCATCATCACCAGGATGGTAGCCAAGTAGTACAAGTCTAGAGAGGCAAAGATAAAGGAGGTGGGAGTGGACATCCACCCCAGGGGTGCTGCCATGACAGCTCTGTTTCTTTCTCCTCTGATTCTCTCTTATGACTTCCTGTGGTGGGATAAAGGGCTACAGACAAGAAGTGCTTCCGAGTTGATTCCCGAGGGGAGGCTGGGGCCTGTGGTGCGGTGAGTGAGTGGGCTGCTTATCCCACAGCCCACCAGGGGCAGCTCCTGCACCACCCTATTTCCCCACAGTTAGGTCTGCCACCCTACAGCCTCCTACTGCACATGCCAAGCAACCACTGCATGACTGTCACTGCTTGCTTTCATTCTGCTCAGATGCAAAGAAGCACGTGGGCCATGGAAACCTCGGGAAGGAACTCCTGTGTGGCCCAGCTTTCCTCCTCATGGTCCAGTGAGGGGAGGCTGAACCGTGCGGGGGTCACTGGATTTCAGGTGTGTCTGCACCCATTCAGAGCTCCTCCTTTGGCTATGTCATACTGGGACTGCTCCCTCAGTCAGTGTTCCCGGCCCATAGCCCCCAGAGAGACCACCGGTGACTCTTGAACCCAGAAGTGCAAAAATGATGCCACACAGAGGCCAGATGAGGGCCCATGCACTGTTCTAGAAGCTTGTGGGCAAGGGCTACCTCCCGCCTACCTGTAGACAAGCATGACAACTTCAGAAATCACGTTCTGCCAACCACCTGGGAGACCCTCTGTGTGACCTGGCCCCCTGCTCCCATTCTTCCCATTCTTCCCAGCGTCCTCTCTCCTCAAATGTGCCAGGTCCCCTCTGCTCTGGCATTCACTGTGCTGGGGCTTCTTCCTGAAATGTTCTGGGCGCCCTGAGCCAACTCCCTGCTGCCTTGTACTTTTTCTCCATAGGAGGACACACGAGCTGAGCTATGAGCATTGTGTTAACATGTTTGGTGTCTTCCGTGGCAAGGCCCAGAGCCCCCTGAGCCTGGGAGCTGGGTGGGCCTCCAGACTTCTCTACCATCAGTGCTGGGCCAGCTGCCTGGCCCAGATCAGGCACTCCTCAGCTGTGTGTTGCATGAAGACAGGGCCAGCAAAGGAACAATGGGGCTGCCTCTCTTGCCTCCCCCTGACTCTGGAGAGGCAAACAAAGCTGGGTGCAGGAATGTGGGCAGGGAGTCACGCTGAGTGACAGCCCCAGCCTCTGCTCCCTCCCATGCCCTCACAGCCCAAGGCAGGAAGAGTGTTCTGGTTTCCAGAGACAAGTCAAGAATGCATCAATGCAGGGGAGCTGCAAAGGACCCAATCTGGTCCTCCATCTCAAATGAGGAAGACAGTAGACCCAAGTTGGGGCCAGCGCCTTGCTGTATTAGGTTAAGCCTCTGCCTATGGCGCTGGCATCTCATATGGGGACCAGTTTGAGTCCTGCTGCTCCACTTTTGATCCAACTCCCTGATAACATGCCTAGGGAAGCTGCAGAGGAGGCCCAAGCGCTTGAGACCCTGCACCCATGTGTGAGGCCCAGAGGAAGCTCTTAGCGTCTGACCAGCTCAGCTCTGGCCATTACAGCCATTTGGCAAGGGAGCCAAGGGAGCAAGTGGATAGAAGATTTTTGTCTCTGTCTCTGACTCTACCTTCCAAATAAATTAATTAACTTTAGAAGGAAATTAGAAAAAAAAAAAAAAAAGCAGAGCCAAGGGCTGTAGGGTCCCGAGGTCCGTACCTGAAGGGACCAGCTGCACGAAGAGCAGCACACCTCCGCCCAGGAAGAGGGCGGCGGCCATGGAGTAGCGCCGGGGCAGGTATCGCAGCAGCAGCCAGGCCAGCACATACGCCGGCACCTCCACCACTGCCGACAAGAAGCAGTTCAGGTAGATGTCCCCATGCAGGTTAGGCGTGTCCAAGGACAGTCCGAAGTAGCCCACGGAGATGGTCATCCTAGAATGGGGGGGGGGAGAGCAGAGCTGGAGAAGCACTAACCACACGCGCCTCTCCCAACAGCACGACTTGGCACAGTCATTTCAGTAAATCCTCCCCATCCCCCCACCTCTGACATCTGGCCTGAACAGGTCATAGCAAGGCTGCATTGTGAGCTTGGCGCCAGCTTCCATGCCCACACATGGCAAATGTGCCTGGGCCCGAGGGCCTTCACTAAAACAGTCACCCCCACCTGTCTTCCCACTGCCATGAGCCACAGCAGCCACTTCCCTCTTCTCTGAATCTCTTGGCATCCAGCAGCTGCCAAGGAGGAAGATGCCAGGGAAAGGGGGGAAGAGATAAGACAACACAGGACACAACATGAGCTCAAATGGTTTGGAGCCAGAGCCTGTGGACTACCTGCGCTGACCGGCCAGGAAGGGGCTGGTCTGGGGCAGCTGGCACAAAGCCCTCTGTAGCTGTGTAGAAGGGTGGTGGTGTCGCATGGTGGAGCTGCCTTGTGTCTTCCACACATTCCCTCAGTGTCCTTGTCCACACCCTGTCCCCGGGAGACATCCTCTCTGCTGTTGACACCCACTGCTTTAAGGGTCAGACAGCTTTTGACCCCTCTGCAGGTGGAAAGCACAGCTGGAATGAGGAAGGGGAAGAGGAGGGGACGTGTCCCTGGAAGCCCAGAGCAGGGAGCCGAGCCTGGAGGAGTTGGGAGGGGGTCCCTGAAGGCTGGCAGGTGCAGGCTCCCTGCGAGTCTTATCAGCAGGCCAACTCAGGGAGCAGTGCCTTTCCCGGAGGGACCCTGGCCCATTGACAGCAGCACAGTTGGGTGACCCAAAGCTGGAAGATCCTGGTGATAAGGACTCCGGGGTGAGTCTGTACTCTTTGCCCATTGCTCAGGTAGTCCCTGCCCAACTCAACGGTCTGCCTGACCAGCACAAGCTACTCAGGCACTTGGGTACCTGACAAGCCCCTCACTGGCACTTGAGCGAGGTCTTATCAGATGGAGGCTGAATGAGGATGCATGGGCCAGGGCCCTGACTGCTGGGTGTGGGTGAGCTCCCCGCAAGCAGCATGCTCTGCTTCCACAGCTCCATGTTGTACCTGCCCTCCCAGCCACCTCTGAGACTAGATAGGAGGAGAACTCAGCTGGGATGGATGGAGAGCAAGGACTCAGTCAGGGCCACACAATATCTCCAGGCAAACTGCACAGCCACCTTATCCTCATCCCCGCCCCAAAGTCCCATCATGGGGACAAGGGTGGTAGGCTCAGGGCTCCCGGTGGTCTTGGGACATAGCCCTTGTACTCCAACCACACGCATGGGCTCTGAGGCTTGTCTGCGATGTGGCAGGTGTCACAGCCACACCCAGAGTGTCTAGTGTCGGCAGGTGTCACGTATGTACACACCACAGGATTATGGACATGATGGTGACCATTCTGATGTTCCGGGTTTGCAGTAGATCCAGGATGCGGTGAGACGCTTGTTTCTTGGAGTTTAGGTCTTGTAGCTGCAGAGACAACATGACTCAGGGTGTGGGAGGGAGAGAGGGCAGGGCAGAGATGGAGCACTCGGGGATGTGCCTGGCACCCTGGTTCTGTGGGGCTTGGTGGCAGGGAGCCATCTTCACATGCAAATCAGAGGAAAAGGGTGGGGGAGCGCTCCCTTGGGGTGCACTGAGGGCAGAGGTTCAAGCGCACCACCCTCCACCCCTCCCTGGGGTTGTCTGGTCAGTGGCCACATCCCAAATGGCAGGAGGGGGACCCTGCAAATATTCCACCAGGGCCTGGCTCCTGGCCCTCTGAGTCACAGAGAGAAAACAGCCTGTGTCCTATATTGATCTGACGTTGTGAAACAATCAGTGTTTTTGAGCCCTTGGACCGTGTAGTTACTGGTCTACTTCCAGGGAGGCAGGGGGAAACATCAAACAGAAAAACAGGAAAATTGACCTGAGCTTCACCCAGTGTGACTTCCTATGAAGTTTGGCACAGGCAAGGCCATTAATAAGCCACACGTCTAAACACAAGGAGGCTGTTTTCTTAAGCAAACCCAGCTTTGGGCTGTGTTTTTCCCAGGGTTCGCAGTTCAACCAAAGGTCAAGCTGCTGACTCCCGGATCCCTGGAAATAGCTTCATTTCCTCAAGGATGCCAGGGGAAGAGTGGGAGTGTGGCTTCACCCAGACTGACCCTGTCTCAGAAACCCTCTTTGCCACACTCCGTGTGCTCAGCAGGAGCTGCTCCTGGGCCACCACGCAGCCTGGACACCAGAGGGGGCAGCCGATGGCCCTAGCCCTCGGCCCCTCCGCTGGCCGCAGTGGCTGGCTCCTCTCACCCGATTTGTATGGCAAGTGCTGAGGTCCTGTAGCATGCCTGCAGTGTACATACCCACAGGGGCCAGGCCCTTGCCTACCCAGCAGCCCAGGCATGCCTACAGAGCTCTGTCGGCCACTGGTGGTCAGCTTCTGGGCTCTGCTTGAAGGGAGAGACCCGGGAGAACTGCCTGCTGGAAGAGGAGGTGCAGGGGAACAGGACCTGGGTGGAGCCCAGCCCCATTGGGGAGTGCAAGAACAGGGCCTGCCAGGAGGAGCCTGATGACCACAGGGCTCCAGCTGAGAGGGCTGACTGCTGGGACAGGGCAGGAGGAGGTGTCCTGTGTCTCACCCTAAGGGTGTTCACGCTGGGCCTGATACACACAGGGTTTCTTCATGTCTAACAGGCCACCTTAGTAGGCACAAGGGGCCATGATCCCCCCACTTTCCACCCCACAAATGCCAACTTTGAGAGAGACCTGGCATTCAGGAAGGGTGTTTATCATGGAAACTAACGGTCTAAGCATACAACTGCCTGGATAGGAAGTGGACAGAAGCATTAAAGCCCAAATACTGTCTGCAAAGACCACAGAGGTTGGGTGGAGGGAGTTGTCCCCTAGGACTTCTAAGGCTCAGAGGGAGGGCTTGCTTGGGGGACAGATGTGTATGGGCAACTGCAGTGGTGGGCGTGGTTATGGGGAAGGGCTGCGATGGGCGTGGTCACGGGGCACGGGGCAGGGCTGTTGGTGGGCGTGCTCATGGGGAGCAGGGCTGTTGGTGGGCGTGGTTATGGGGAGCAGAGCTATGGAGGGCATGACCACAGGTAAGAGCTTGGTGGGCGTGACTACAGGGCCGGGCTGTGGTGGGCGTGGCCACGGGACAGAGCTGTGATGGGTGTGGTCACAGGGAAGGGCTGTGGTGGGCGTGGTCATGGAAGGGCCCGGCGGGCGTGGTCACGGGGCGTGGCCACGAGGCCGCTCACCTCACTCTGGTCGAAGATGGTGGCAGGGGCCAGGACACCGTTGATCTTGGCGGCCTTGTGGATGATGACCTCTGCCTCTGCAAAGCGTCCCTGGGAGATGAGCCAGCGGGGAGACTCCGGGATGAACCTGGAGGCAGGGGTGGCAACCTCAGGGAGGCGACCCTGCCAATGGGGCCGGGCAACGGGGCCGGCGGCTCCCCCACGCGGAGCTGGCACGTGTGGGTTCGGGGGGTGACCCTGCGTGTGAGCTCCGGGGGAAAATGCCTCGGGCCGGTCCTGGGGACTGCAGCCACAGGAAGAGTGTGGTGGCCCCCTGCTGGGGCCTAAGGAGACAGCCGGGCCCAAGATGGCTCCTGCTGCCTGTCACTAGCTGGGCCAGCTCCTGCCCCAGCCCAGGCATCCCTGGGTGGGTGGGTGCCTCTGTGGGCATTTGCTGCTCACCGTGAAGGGGCCCCACCACACGATCTCCTCTCCCATCCTGCCCTGAAATGCAGTCTGCCCCACGTGGGCCACGGATCGCCCCTTCCCCTGCACCTGCTGGGCCCCTGACTAGGCGCCGTCTCCTGGATAGAGAGCAGCCTCCTCTTGCCCTTCAGTCTCTCTCCCTCCCTCCCTCCCTCCCTTTCTCTCTCTCTCTTCCTCGGAAACTGGCAGCTCCAGCGGCCTCCACACACCACACAGCTGGCAGCCGAGGCTGCCCGGGGTCTGAGCCACCCATGGCCCCAGTTTCGTCCTCCTCTCCTTGCACTTGGGTCAGCTCGGCACAGGTCGGGAACAGGCCTGCCGGAGCGGGCTGAAGTACCACCCTGCTCGGGCACTTCTGAGGGCAGAGAACGTCGGGAGACGGCCGAGGGCCCCTGGGCTGCTGCTGCCCTCTGGTGACCAGCCGGGAGAAGCGCCCGAGCAGGTCCCGCCCCGCTCCTCACGCACCACCACAGCGCGGCGCACAGCACCCCGGGCGCCGTCAGCGCCAGCAGCAGCATCCGCCAGTCCCGGATGAAGTAGGCGATCAGCGGCAGCACCATGAAGCCCACTGCGTAGAAGATGCACACGCCCAACGTCGAGAACACGATCCGGACCGACTTGCTGAGAATTTCTGTTCCTGTTCGACACGAGGGAGGGAGGGAGGGGGTCAGGGAGGCATTTTAATTCGGGTTACTTCCCCGTGAGTGGGCCAGCCATGGTCTCAGCTTTCAGCTCACAGACAAGGTGGCGGCCAGAACTGTCTTGGCCCGGTTCCTGAGCCTGGGGGTGGGGACGTGGGGGAAGGAGGAGATTCTGAACTCAGATCCTTCTGCCCATCACCAGGGGGAGACACTGCGGCCCTCTCAGGACGCCCTGAAACCCCTCCCGCAGGAGATGAAGGCGTCCTGGAGCCACACCTGCTGACTATCACCCTTCAAGGAAAAAAGGCTCCCATTACACTGAAAACAATCACCCCTTCCGCATTCAACCCCTGGGGCCTGAAAACAAAGAGCCCGGCACAGGGTCAGAGAGGATGGGTGGGCAGGCCACTTGAGTGACAGCCCTGGACGGGGTGGGGGTGGGGGTGGGGGTTGGTCAGGGCCCAGCACTCCACGGAGGAGGCAGGGCTGGCTGGTACACCTGCCACTCACAGCCCTCACTCTGCCTTCCTGCCTCCCTCCTTTCCCCAGGGACCTCACCCTGGCTGGGGCAGGCTCTTGTTGAGACTGGCAGGCTCTGGAAGAGGCTTAGCAAGATGGCCACCGGGTAACACCTACACCAAGGCTCTGCACCCCAGAGGCCTTTAGGGAACTGGAAACACGAGGACGGGTTGTTGGGGCGTGCTGGCGACTGGCTGCTTCAGTCTGCAGGCCTGGGAACTGGGTGGACTGGGTGCCCTGGGCAGCCAGCACTGCCAGAGACCACATCCCTTGAGGGACACTGGAAGGGTGGGGGCCAGCTGTCGGTGAACATGGGACCCAGCACGCGTGACTGACTTGATGGCCGTACCCAGGACAAATGCTGCCACGTAGTTGGAGATCTGGCCCATGCCTACGAGGACAAACAGCACAGTGAACATCTCGAAGTTTGTGGAGAAGACCTGCACGAAGCTGAAGCCCGTCTGCATGGCCATGGTCACAAACAGCACATTCTTACGGCCAAACCTGGGGAGGAAGAGGGAGGGAGGAGGCGGTGGGAACAGGCCGTACCATGAGGGCTTCAATCCCCCCGCTCCCACCTCATGTGTCCAGACAGGGGTCGTGGAGAAGGTCACCAGGAGCCCTGCAGCCGGGGTCACTCCCTGTCCCTGGGCTCCTCCCACTCCATGGTGGGCACCAGGGCTGGGTCAGCACACTTATATCAGTCCAACAGCCACAGGACTACCCAGCGAGACATGTGCACCAAGACCATAGCGCCCAGCTCTCTGAGAGATGAGGGAGAAGCCTGGTGGAGAACCAGGCGACCAGGGATGCTCTCCCTGATGACAGCACACTGAGAGAGACACCACTCCAAAGAAGCCAGGCCTACAAGGGTCAAGGCTGTGAGATAGCTTTTTATTAAAGACGGTTGTGGGGGCCCAGTGCAGTAGCCTAGTGGCTAAAGTTCTCGCCTTGCATGCACTGGGACTGCATGTTGGTTCATGTCCCAGCTGCTCCACTTCCCTTGCTTGTAGCCTGGAAAAGCCGTCAAGGACGGCCCAAAGCCTTGGGACCCTGTACCCACACAGGAGATGCAAAAGAAGCTCCTGGCTCCTGGCTTCAGATCAGCTTAGCTCCAGCTGCTGCAGCCACTTGAGGAGTGAACTGGTGGACAAAAGAACTTTCTCTCTGTCTCCCCTTCTCTCTGTGACTCTGACTTTCCAATTAAAAAAAAAAATGGCCTGGCCTCCGCTGACCCTGCTCACAGGGCCAGGGTAGAAAGACGTCAGTGTGCCCTGGACTGTTACATAAGCAGTGTGCTCCCCAGGCTAACTGAGGAGAAGGCCTCACTGCACGGAAAACAGGCCTGACCTTTACCCTGCTGCCCTCCCCTGGGAAGGGAGAGGAAGAAGGTCCTGAGGGGCCTTCACAAAGCCTCAGTGCACGGCAGCTCCCACTTGCTGCATGTGTACACACACACACACACACACACCCCTGCTAACACAGGAAACACCACACCACACCGCCCGTTTGCTGCTTCCTTGGGCTGGGCCTCTCACAGTGTGCACAGGCAGGTGGTCACAGCCACCTATGAAAGGCTGTGATGACAAAGGACTATTTTAACCGCTTGACTTTCTGATGGCATTTTCGTTCCCTGTAGAAAGTTACTGCTGGTATCCCAGATGAGGCGACAGGTAGCACTCTGCTGCTCTTAGGTAATTAATGAGGCCTCTGTCCGCCCCCCCACGGGTGCCCTGGGCCTTCCGTGGGGGGGGGGGGGTGCACGAGAGTGTGAATGAGGGCGCTGGGAGCTGAAGGCAGGGGCTGCAGGCAGAGCAGCCATACCCTTGACTCTGTCCCTTACTGGACTTCAGTGGCCTGACTTTAAAACAAAACTGCGCTGCCGACAATATTTAAAACGGCGTTCATTTATTTGAAAAGGGGAGAGAGAAATTGCTCATCCACCAGTTTGCTCTCCAAAAGCCTGCAGCTGCTAGGGTTGGGTCAGCTAGCAGGCAGCGGCCTAGGACGGCCTCCAGGTCTCCCCTGTGGGTGGCAGAGGCCCACGCACTTGGGCTGCTCTTTGCTGCTGCCCAGAATGCTTTAGCGGGAAGCTGGATTGAAGGGGAGAGGCAGGGACTTGAACATCAATGAGTCCTCCACTAGCTGACAATTCCCAAATGTGTTCCTGCAAACTTCTGTCTTCATCTCCAACTGTCCCCTCCAGGTCCCCACGTGAGGTTCTCAGGTCACCCTAAATTCAGTGTCTTCATCTCTCCATCACCGTTCCGGCAGAGTCTTCTGTCCCTCTATCTCTTGCGGAGCTTTTGCCTGGAGATCAGGCTGCTTTCTCTGCCAGACGCTCCTTCCTTCCACCCCTTCATCTGGTCCTTCTATCTACCGTCCAACCCTCAGCCAAGGCTTCTCCCAGCAGGGAGGCCGCTGAGACTTCTGCTGAAACGCTGCCTCCACACCCTGTCCTGTCTCGCTCAGCACAGCCCAGGGTCACGCTCACTTCCTCAGCTGGTTCTTTCACATACTTCCTCTCGCAGGGAGAGTTCCAGAAGAACAGGGACCTAGCATGGTGGTCCATGCCCAGCGGTCCATGCCCAGCAAGGGTGCTCTTCCCTGTGCCAGCTGTGCACCTGGGGACACTTTACTGACCTCTCTATGGAGCACTGTCCCCATTCGTACAATGCAAATGGCAGTCTTTACTTCATGGTCATCATTGTTTCTAAATTTTTAAATTTATTTCACACACACACACACACACACATGAGTTCATTACTGAAATGACTGCCACAGGCAGAGGTCAGGAGCCGGGAAGGCAATCCGGCTGTCCCACACGGGTGACAGGGACCTGAGCTCTGACCTGCTACCTCCCTGGGTGTGTACTAGTAGGGAGCTGCATTGGAAGCAAGTCGGATCTGTGTAGTCCCCGGATCAGAAAGCCTACAGCCCTGGCTTTCCGTCAGTGCTCTGCTGGGCACCATCTTGTGTGTTTAGACAAGATCAGTGCTGCTGATAAGCCAGTTATCTGGAACAGCTGGCGTCTTCCAGGACACTGAACATAAAGACTGACTTATAGATGTGTAGGTAATATATCTTAGAAATTTTCACTAAGGAGAAAAATGCACTAAATTGGATTGCAATGTCAAAAGTTAAAAGAAGAGACAGAGGCACAATGAATGTTACTGAAGACTCCCCTGTAAAGGAACAAAAACCTCTACCAGCCTCAGAGTTAACTGAGGAAGACATTGAAAACATGGAGGACACAGAATTCAGAAAACTTATTATAAGGCTTCTGACCAACAATAAGAGGCACATAATACAAGAGTTCAAAGAATTTAAAGAATTAGTTACACAGGAAACGAATCAAATGAAAGCTGACATTCAGAAGTTAAGAATACAGTGGAGCAAATTAAAAGTACAGTGGAGAGTCTAAACAATAGAATGAATGAAGCAGAAGAAAGAATATCAGAATTGGAAGATATTTCCTGTCACCATGGGGAAACAAACAAAAAGCTGGAAGCAGAGCTAGGCCAAGCTAAAAGTATCCAGCAACTAAAAGATACAGTTAAAAGGCCCAACATAAGAATTATGGGAGTTCCAGAAGGCACAGAAAGAGCAACTTGTATTAAAGGTGTATTCAATGAAATAATAGATGAAAACTTCCCTAATCTAGAGAAAGAATTAGGAAACAATATCCAAGAGGGGCACAGGACTCCCAACAGGGTTGACAAAAAGCAACCTTCACCAAGACACATGATAATCAGGCTCTCCTCAGTTGAACAAAAGGAAAAAATCCTTAAATGTGCCTGTCAGAAAAATCAAGTGACCTATAGAGGAACCCCAATCAAACTCACAGAAATAGATCTGGAGCTTGAACCCAAACACAGAATGGGGGCAGGGCACAGTAACCTCTGAGTTAAGTGGCTAACACAGAACTTTCCTTTCTTCAGCTACTGGACAACCTCTGAGAGATAAACTGTTGAAAAATACCCAAGCGTGAATGTCTCAGAAAGACTCTGCAGGCAAAGACAGTGACCCATGGGTGGAAATGGGACAAAACGCCAGCACAGCTCGCGCTGCAGGGTCAAGTGGCCGTGCTCCTCAGGGAGATGCCCTTGACCGGCACAAAGGCCTGCGGGAGCCTTCTGCTGCAGCTGTGTGTGGGTTCCCGCGTGTCCGTGTGGCTAGGGACCTCCGGCCTTGGGTTGCTGGGAGAGACCCCCTGACAGACCCCTCCCCTGAAGGACGGGAGGAAAGCCGCTGACCTCGCTCCCAGAATCGCTCACATACGCACCCACTTGCCAGTGTTTGGCTGGTCATTTCAAGGGTTTCGTGACTCTTAAAGCCATGAAAGGAACTCAAATGAAAAGTTTCAGAATGGCACAAACAGCCTGCTCATCAGAATTGGCGTACAACAGCACTGTCCCTTGCCTTACAGTGACCGCCACGATGGTAAACCTCAGAGCACAGCGACATCACCCCCAGGGACCCCGGGCTCTGCTCTTCTCACCTCACACACAGAATGCTGGTCCTGGGAATACAGACGTGCCTCCTACCCCCAACCCCAGGACAGCCGCCCCTAGATATACATTATGGCACACATGCATATGTGGGTACTGTCTGCCCTCTCCCATCCCTAGGGGCACAAGAGGGCCACGTTAACCCACACGAGGCAAGCCAGGCTCACGCACATACGAGTGGACTAGGACACACGGGCCAGGCCGGGCTCCTCACTTGGTGCCAAAGTGGATGTCTTACCTGTCTGACAGCTGCCCCGAGATGAAGGAGCCTACCAGCACACCCACGAAAAACAAGGAGATGCTGAGCGGGGCCTTCCAGTCGTCGTCACACACCAGGTCCCACTAGAAGAGGAGCAAAGGTACACGTCAGTCACTTTTCAACAAATCCAAGACTTCGTGAGAAACCAGCACGCTCTGGGTGTGTGACCTCCACCCAGTGGGCGTGGCTGTCCTGGGTGGCAGGGCTGACAGTGGGCACCTGTGTCCCACTGTCTGCTTCCATCCAGAGAAAGGGAAAGTCTTGTGCCAACTCCCCACTGGCACGAGTGCACTAGGAGGGGAGCTGAGGGGGCAGCCCCTGGACCTGTTCCCATCCTGGCCCAGCAACCCCAGGATCTTCCCTGTGGCATTGCAGTGGGCATTCCTGATGCTGCTCACCAGTCTGGAGGCCTGGCTGCAGCTGAGGGCCCTGAGCCCGGAAGCTGACTTTGGGGTCACACATGCCTGTGTGCCTAAACTTTCCTACTCATACAACAGAGATAAGGGTAGGAGCCATAGCTCACACAAGTGGGAAAAAGGCCCGGAGGTGAAGTAAGGGGTCAGTGGCTGAAGTCACAGACACCAGGCTGTCCTGGCCTAACATGAAGTCAAAAAGGAAGGATGCCACTACAGGAACCTTGGCGGTTCCCAGGAAAACCTTTCCCAGAAGACAGAGCTCAGCGGCTGCCTCTGCAGATACCTGCCTGCGGAGTGCATAGCCTGCCGCCCCTGAGGCATGGACACAGGCAGCAGGGTTGACCAGCAGTCTGTAACAAAGCCTCTCTTCCAATGGGGAAGTGTAAATCTGTTTCTTTGCCCTGCTGGACAGTGCGCACACATCTGCCTGGTACCTCTGAGAGTGGTTGGGGGGTGGCCAGACACAGAGAATGTCCATGGTGGGTGGCCTGGCTCACAGGGGCAGCTGCTGGCTTTCTACTCCTGGTCAGACACACCCACAAGCGCTCAGAGTGGGGTCTGCGTGGGCACCAAGGCCTGACCACTCAAGCTGCTGTAGCCTCCCATCTTCGTGGCCTCAGCAGTGGCAGCACCCAGACATGTCTCCCATGGCTGCTGAAACAAAGTCCAGGGTCAGGGGCCAGGCGGAGCTGAGAGTCTCGGCAGCCAGGCTGAGCTTCAGGGCCCACTCTGGTGTTCAGGTGCATCTCCCTTCCACGCAGCAGGTGTTACCTCTGCAGTAACTGAGAAGACCCAATGACTAATGGGCTGCTAGCCATTTCTCAGCCTGTCTGTGTGAGGGTCAGGGGCTGCCGAGGCTGAGCCATGTCGGATCCCCACAGTCACTATGGTAGTTCTGGGGCTTTGTGGTCTTTTGTCAGGTCTCCCTAGAACAGACTCCAGGCTGGCCAGACCAGGGGCTACCTGAAGCCCTGTGAGACTCTGCTCTGGGCATGGGCCCAGGACATTCCAGCCTCCCCTCCCCCATGTGGTCTGGCTGGTCCTCAGTCCGGCAGGTTTGTAACTCAAAGGAGTGATGGTGGGCACTGCACACCATGGACGGTCCTGGATACCAGTCCTTCCCAAAGTAATTGCATTTCTTTTTAAAAAGATTTAAAAAAAATTTTTTTATTAGAAAGTCAGATATACAGTGAGGAGAGACAAAGAGAAAGATCTTCTGTCCATCGATTCACTCCTCTCAGTGGCCGCAACAGCCAGAGCTGTGCCAATCTGAAGCCAGGAGCCAGGAGCCTCTTCCAGGTCTCCCACACAGGTACAGGGTCCCAAGGCTTTGGGCCATCCTTGCTTTCCCAGGCTACAAAGAGGGAGCTGGGTGGGAAACAGGGATGCCAGGATTAAAACCAACACCCATATGGGATCCCAGTGTGTTCAAGGTGAGGACTTTAGCTGCTAGGCTACCGTGCCGTGTCCAGCAATTACACTTCTTCCCCACCAGCCATAGAGGCCCGTGACAGATTACCGAAACAAACACAGACTGGGTCCTGGCCCAGCCAATGCACCTGCCTACCTGAACATGACAGGGCAGGCTGCCATGGGCTCCGGGGCTTGGCCTGCCTTCTCCTTCGAGGACAGGGTGAGGAGCCCAGAGTGCAGGCCAAACACACTCTGCTTCATGCATTTACAAAGGTACTTGTGCCCCTGCACTAAGCTCCTGGCTCCCCAGCCATGACTACAGCAGCTATGGACCAGCTGGTCTGTGCTGCCACTTGAATGTGTGGGTCTTGCCAGGTTACCCCTTGGGTGGGTGAGCTGGGAAAGCTGGAAGCGACTCTGACAAGGGTCCAAAGTGACTGTGCTATCTGGTTGGAAATGTGCCTTTCTGACAGTTCTGGCTCCACAGGACTGTAGGCACACTTCACGTTCATGTGCAGTTCGAAAAGGTTAGCTGTTTCTCAATAAAGCTGTTATCCCCTCCCCTGCCCCCCACCCCTCCAAACACCCCAAGCACTGTGTCTCTCACACCTTACACAGGACCCAGGACGCTTTTCAGTAGTGGGAAGCAGAGATGACATCATTCTCCCAGGACAACATGTTCTGATCTACGAACTGGCTGGAGGAGGAAAGGGCCATAGCCAACGGCCAGAGGGCAGCGGCTCTCCCTGAGATGTACCTAGCCGGTGTGCATCGGTGGCCAAGCATGCAGATAAGCGCTGCCCATGACCCAGTGGCCTATGCATCAGATGGACACAGATTGCTGGGCTGCCTCCAGCTATAGTTCCTGAGGTCAAGAGGTTACAGCTAAAGTGTCCCCTAAGTCCTCTACAGTGCAGGGACGCTGGGGCAGGGAGTGGGAGATCACGTGGGGAGAGAGACCGGCTGCCAAGCTTCCACACCATGCTGTGGGAGCCTTGGGCTTGGCTCTTGGGCTTTACCACCTGGGACTCAGGAGAGACCCAAGTTCCAGTCTCCAGGATGAGTGATTTTCTTTGCTCCCTGATTTCCCATTAGATCCTTGAACCAGCAGGCAATGGTTTTTACACAGCCAGAGAAGGGGGTTCAACCTGCACGGGAGCCATGGGGATGGCAAGGGGCCCCTCTGCCCTGGCAGAGGCAGGCAGAAGGGTCTGCACCACCTCCAGGAGGAGGGTCCTAGAAGGCCTGTACACTTCCCAAGGGTTCTTCCTGTCTCCAGGTGGGAGCGGGCTTACAGGAAGCCCTGGCACTCTGAGAGACCATCCAGGGACACAGAGGAGGGGGCATTTCCTGTGCATTGCACAAGCATGCAAGGTGGGCCAAGTGAGCCCTCACACCTGGGGTAGGGCGGAGGGAGAGGCAGGCAGCCTAGAATATGCGAACCATGCAAGCATTCGCAAGACAGAAGCACAAACCTTCACATGTCCCCTTCCTTTGGAAATCCTATGCCTTGCTTCAGACCCACAGTATCCAGCCCAAGATGGCATGGAGAATCCTGAAGATCCTCCGGCAGGTCCTTTCTGACACCCCCAGGTTTCCCTGCCATCTGCAGTCCATTCTCCTCACCCTTTAGAGACGCCTCCTGAAATCATTCATCATCCTGTCCAACAACGTTTCCCAAGTTCTTCCCTCTGCAGCAAGCACTGTGCCAGGAGTTGGGCAAGCTGCAAGATCTGCACCTACTGCCAGGCTCAGTGCCATGTGCATGTACTTTGACTTGAACAAGGAACGTCAGCGGGGTGAGAGGGTGGGGAGACAAACAAGAGACCTGAGGCTTCAGTCTCTATAGAAACCTTTGAACGGGAATTCAAACAGCTTTGCGTGGGCTCTGGGGCACAGGGCAGGCGTGGAGACACTCGGTAGGCCCAGGGAAAAGCTGTGGCAGTCATGGGGCCTGCTCGGATTTGAAATAAAGCAGAACTTAGACCAAAAAAGAAAAACACCCCGTCATAATGTGGATGTGGCAGCTCACCACAGGGCCTGTCCACCTTGATTTCAACCAGGCATCGCCACATCCCCAAACAAAGGGCTGCCTTGGAACCTCCCTCCCTGCCAAGCCAGAAACCTGGAAGTAGGTGAAAGGGCACCCAGTTCTTACGAAACCGGTTCAAACAGCTAAGTTAGTAGCCTACCCGATAAAAGGACATAAGGCAGACCACCCAGGCAGCCTGGGAGGTGCTGCTCCCTTGCCGACCTCGGGGCAGGATACAGGCACAAGCCCAGGGCCAGGCCAGAGTGCCCTCAAGGTCAAGCCTCTCCTTTGCTCAGTCAGCCTCCTGCAGAACACACAGAGAATCCTGTGTCATCAAGTCTGGCTTCCTTGCAGCATCACAGATGCTGTGTCCCCGCCTAGTTCTCCCTGGCTTCCAGGTAGGGAACAGATGGAGATGTGGGGTGAGGACCCAGGTTGGAGGTGTGGGGTGGGACCCAGGATGGAGGTATGGGATGGAGACCCAGGATGGAGGTGTGGGGTGGGACCCAGGATGGAGGTATGGGGTGGGGACCCAGGATGGAGGTGTGGGGTGGGACCCAGGATGGAGGTATGGGATGGAGACCCAGGATGGAGGTGTGGGGTGGGACCCAGGATGGAGGTGTGGGGTGGGGACCCAGGATGGAGGTGTGGGGTGAGGACCCACTTTGCACCCCATCTTGGGTGTGTCAGTCACAAACCATGGTCAGCTACCTCCGCTCTGTCCTTCTGCCCAGAGAATGCCTCAGGACACTGCAGTGACATCACTGCCAGAGGGGTCAGGTCACACTCCCACTACACAGGTGGAGTGAGCAGGCACAGGGGCCGGCAACATCAGACTTGCATGCACAAACATGTGTGTGCCTGAGCCTCCAAGGAAGCACACCTCAAGTCCTAGAGCCCGAGGGGACAACAGCAGCGGTCTCCAGTGATGTCCAGTGCCATCTGGCACCCCCACCACGGCCTCCCCTCCTGATGAACTCTACCCTCCTACTGGGCACACATTTTTTTGGGGGGGGGGGGACTGTTGCAGGTGAGCCACCTCAGAGCCACTCAGCGGCTACCTCCTCATCCAGCAAGCCTTCGCTAACCCAGGATCCCTGACCCTGACACACAGGTGACAAAGAACTATAAAAGAGGGCTCTTTGTATGGCTTTGCTGCCACCTGGGTTCCGCCAATGCTTCCACGAACTGGGAGAGGCAGGGCCTAAGTCAAACCTGCACCATGCACGCACATCAGCCTCCGGGGACTGCAGGGTCACCAGGGGACAGACATAAACATGAGGAGGACAATCCAAGGGGTGGGGCATGACAAAGATCTCCACTAACACCCTGTGTCAGCTAAGGGTGTACTTACACTCAGCACTGTGGCCAGTTCACCACAGAACAGCCTAGGGAGACATGTGTATCTTTGGCCTCAAGGTTCCTGAATGACAAGCGACCTGGGCACCAAGTCAATTCAGTTCTCCACAGGGCAAGACCAGGCTGTCATCACGCAGCAAGGATGGACAGGAAAGGTGGACAAAGCCTGGTACGTGTTTCCTTTAGTCATCAAAGCTAATGGGACAATTTCCTTTCTTTCTGCAAAAGGATGCTGTACCATCTCACGCGCAGCCAGAGGACATCCCAGGGGCCTCAGGGGTGACCAGCCCGACTCCTACCCACAGAGGGATGCCACACAATGCAGAAGCGCCACCGCAGCGTTCTGCTTTGGGGAGGAGTGACAGAGCGAGGGCGCACCTGACCTGGGGTGGCTAATGCAGTTGCTGCCTCCTCTGCACCTCAGACCCCAGAGGCGGCGGGGCATGGTACTCACCTCGGTCACGATGGTGGACAGGTACACGTCCTGGCTGTACTCCCAGCCATCCAGGCAGCCCTCCTGCTCCAGCTGCTCCAGGTCCACGTCGCGCCCAGGCTCCAGCCCCAGCGCCGAGAAGTTGGCGATGGTGGCAAGCCGGTAGCGGCGACAGCTGTGGGGCACCTCGCGGCCGTTCTGCAGCAGCAGCGGGACGCTGTGGTTGCGCCACGCGCTGCTCAGGTTCGCCGAGTCGGGCACCCGGCAGTGGTGCTCCGGGGTCGCCATCAGGAACACGGACGACAGGCCGTTGAAGCCGTTGGGGATGATGCTGGCGCTGAGCAGGAAAAAGATGAGGCGCTGGAAGGGCCCCCACTCGCCCAGGAAGGCGGTCACTTCCTCGTAGTCCCGCATGCCGCCCTCGGCCGCCCGGGACGTGAGGCCCGGGGTGGTGGACACTGCGGCGCGCGGGGGGCGGGGCAGGGCGCGTGCGCGTGCGCGCGGGGTCCCCGGGCGCCGGACAGAGCAAGGAGCCGACCCGGAGAGCGTCCTTCGGCCGAGCTGGCTGGCGAGCACCCGTCCCTGCCCGGGCACCGCCGCCGCCGCCGGCCTTACATAGGGCGCCAGCCGGGGCGGGCTCTGGGCCTGGGCCGGCAAGGCCCGCCCTGCTGGCCAGCCGGCGGTGCGGCGCAGGCGGGGCGACCCGGCGGGTGGGCGGGTCCGGCCGCCACGCGCACGTGTGGCGGGGCCGGTGCCAGGGGCCCGAGCCCGGCCTCCCCGAGGCGGCCGCTGAGGATCCGAAAACTAGACTGCTGGGAGGCACCGAGAGACGGGCGAGGCGTTGGCGTCAGAGGCCGGGGTGGGTGGGCGCGCTGCCTGGAGGGCTCAGGGGCTGCGACTGTGCTCTGTCCCCGGTAACTGCCCAGGTCTGCAGAGGATGCGGGAGTGGCCTCCGAGCTGCCAGGATTCCGTCTGACCGTTGTGGGAGAGTCCTGTTGCCGAGACTTCTCAGATGCCCTTATAGGATTTTATTCTGCATCAAAATGTTGTGTTGCTCTTTTTAACTTTCTCAAGGAAATGTAAAAATTTAACTTGCCTCGTATTAAACGTGCCCTTCAGATTAGTTATTTCTGCATAGTTAACTCAGAAGTTGACTGGTAATTAAAAGGAAAGACAGCTCGCAAGGAGGCTGTGCTAAAGCAGCGCTAACAGGGTGAGGAGCTACGTTGATCTCAAGTGAATCAGGTTTGCTGATGTAGAAAATACATCGTTAGATGAGAAGACATAATTTTTTTTTTTCAGGATAACGGTGTCCCAGACAGGGATATATAACTGGGTGGCCTGTGCTTTATCTGCTATGCTTCTGGGGACAGTGCTGAAAATGATAATGAGCTGGGCACTGGGGAAAGGATGACCTTAGGTCGCACGCACCTTTGACGTCACCCATCTGGAATGACACAAATGGCAGGTTACATTATGCCTAGAGGCTCAGGAAGTGCATCAATTAGGCTCTTGTCCTAAGGACATGTCCACTTTTCTTATGTTCTTTGCTTCACTTTCCCACAGTCGTAAGAGTCCGGGTTCCCTTCCACTTTACCTGCCCTCAGAGCTCTCTGGACCCTCAATCCCTAAGAAGTTCCTTTACTTAGGTTTCTGAGTTCTGACTGAATGACACTGCATATTTACAAGTAAAACAACAATGAAGGTAACAGTATACTCATCTAATATGTTCTGCCCAAAACTTTATCATTCCAGCACCTAAGTAAAATAAAAATTACTGGAATATTTTTAAAGTCATTGTTCCCACTCCCTCCCACCCCAACTAAATCCTGAGACTCCAATATGTAACGTATGCCACATTTCAATTTGATTCCAGCGCTGCGTGACCTCTTGCAGCTAATGAGTATGCTGCGGGAACTGTACCATTCTTAGGCTTTGGGGAAACTGGGGCTGGTAACTTGAGTGTTACAGGGTATCCCTTTTTGAAGGTCATAATAGTGGCTTAGTGAAAGAAAACTAAGTATGCATCTTTTACATGTCATCTGTTGGACAAGCTATATTTAACAGTGGTTACATTCTAAACTGAAACTAACAGTACAGAAGAAGTGAACCCTGCCAATAGGTTTACACAACACACACAAACATTTCTATGCAACAGAGCTGAGTTTTAAAATAGTTAAAATGGCATCACATTTCTTGCTCTATGCTTTATACTTGCTGTTTACTCCTATATGTGTATTTCAAAGGGGGTTTTGTCTGCACCAAAATGAGCGTGTTTCCTAATTCCCTTTCCCAAAAACTTTCTGAAGTCCCCTCAACTTCCTGCTTCCTGAGAAATGGATGCTATGTGTGCAGAAATGCCCTAGTCTTTTGTAACAGTCCTTCTCTGAAACTTGGCAAAAAGGGATGCACAGCTTTTTTAAGACAAACATGCTTTTGCATCATAAAGTATCTTAGTATTTCAAAGTAAGGGAAATGCATGGGTGAGAATACTGAGGCAGGACTGAACCTGTGTTCACACCATTGCAGAGTAAGCCCCCGATTGACCGATTGACCCACTGACCGCTGGAGTGGTGATAAAGTGGCCATTTGTTTGCGAGCTGGGAACAAGGAGCCTGGGCAGCTGTCTCTCACCTCCTGGAGCCCCCAGGCATTAAGGTTAAGGAACCTAACATACTGAAGTTGGGGTTGGGAGATCCATGTTGTGTGTAGGTCTCCAGCTGGCCTGCAGTTCTTGTGTCACCTGTTTTGATTGGTCAGCAGTAGCTTGCCACTGGTGCTCTCCCAGGAACAAGGGCAAGGTGGGCTTTAGTCTGCTCTGGGATCTTTATTGAGGTACTTGCTACTTAGATCGGGGCTTGCAGTTACTGGAAAACATTTGAAGACAGGGCCTAGTGGCAAGTTTCTCTCTCTTTCTCTCTCTATCTCTCAGATACATGAACTCTGATTCTTGGAGCTGTTTTGGCCCATGCACCACCCCCTTAATTTGGTGGGTTAATCATTAGGAAGAGGGTGACTTGCAGTTGTCAAAGCATACCAAGCTAGGTTAAAAATTACAGAAATATTAATTGGGCATCAGAAGACACTCCTGGCAGGGTTTGGGAACAATTTAGTGAACCACCACAGATGCTGTGGGTGCTAATAAGGAAACAAACCATCTTTTCTAGACAGTGTGTCCACAGGCATCACACAAAGGGCAGTGCCTCCAGGCCTGGCTGGACCACGTGGCCATCTGAGTGTTGAATTGCATCTTTGAAAAGAAAGAGAGAACTTGCAAAATTGACTCAGTCACCCGGGACCTTTTATACCTCGAGATCCAGAAGAAGAGTGTTCCTATTTTATGTAAAAGAGGAACCAAAACTGATCCATGCGGCAGAGAGAAAATTCAGGGTTAGAGCTCTATGCTAAGAGACTCCAGAGTGGTACTTAATGCTTCCTGCCAGGTTCTTATGCCCTTATTCAGGTCCTGTCACTTACCAAAAAAAAAAAAAAAAAAAATCTTTATTGGCTTGAAAGTCAGAATTATAGAGAGGGAAAGATAAAATGAGAGAGATCTCCCATTCACTAGATCACTCCCCAGATGGCTGCAATAGTCAGGGCTGAACCAGGCTGAAGCTAGGAGCCAGGTGTTTGGGTCTGCAAGGTGGGTGGTAGGCAACCAAGCATCTGAGCCATTGTTTGAGGCCTCCCAAATGTATTAGCAAGACGGGAAGTGTGTGTTGGTATAGACTTGAACCAGGTACTATGATACAGGATGTGGGTGTCCCATTGGTGGCTTAACCTGATGTACCACAACATCAGCTCTGTTTGTTGGTTTAAGCTGCTAAATGCAACACTAACAGATTCTTTTAAATTGAATGATATATTGTACTCAAATTCAGAAAAATAAGCATCCAAAGCTCCTTGATATTGTCTCCTTTATATTCCACAGAATGGAATTGTTTTTAAAGTTATTTCAGAGGCAGAGAGACACAGAGAGGGATTCCTATCGTATGTTTTAGTCCCTAAATGCCCACACTCAGGGCTGGGCCAGGGCCAAATCCAGGAATTGAGAACTCAATCTAGGTCTGCTACACAGCTGGCAGGGTCCCAATTGCTTGAGCCATTACCTGTTCACTGCCAGGATGCACATTAGCGGGAAGACTGAGGCAGGACTGCCACCCAATCCAAAATGAGATAAGGCCATTTTATGTGCGAGGCCAACAGCTCATCCTAGCCACATGTGTTAAGAGCTAGTGCGTTCAACTGATGACGATGTGGCCATGGAACAGAACAGAAAGATCAGCATTCAGTCACTTTCTCCCTCCAATTTTTGTTCAGGTTTTTCTCTGCCTCCTTTTCCTGAAGTGGTAGCCCTTAGCTCAGATGCCTGGCACAAACCAAATGCAAAAGTGCATGTTATCTGTAATCATTATTTTTATCTTGATTATCGACCCTAAACAAGCATCATACATGCCCTCCATAGCCTCAGGTCTGGCCAGGGGTTGTCTGGGCTGAAAGCTGCTGGCTAGCAAGTGCTTGCGGAGGAAAGGACATCTCAGAAGAAATAACTCTGTCTCGGGGAAAGGAGCAGAGGGCACAGGCCTCGCTGGCTGTTTTCGTGCGAGCACCAAGGGGAGGACGATTTGGGGGCTGCCCAGCCAGTTGTGGGTCCAGACTGTTGGCCTTGGCCTCAGAGGATCACACTGTGCCCCAGTGGTGGTGCAACAGCCGTGTGCACACCTCACCAGACACTTGGCATGTCATCAGCCCAGGGTGCGTGGGCCTTTGGGCAGAGGAGAACAGCTGCAGCCCCATGGAACTTGGCACAACTGGACCTGAGCCGGAGGTGGATGTGCGCAGTAAACGTGTCTTAGATGAACAAGCAAAAAAGGATAGAGAGGTCTGTATACTGAGCCCAATTATTGCTGGAAATTAGATTTTGCAGAGGATTGAACTACAAGAACTGGAGAAGTCATATTTCCACTCTTACATGAGCCTACATTTAAAAAAAAATTATTTGAAAGAGAGAAAGAATATTCCATCTTCTGGCTCACTTTTCCAGTGGCCACAAAAGAGAAAGGCTGGGGCTTGTAGACTGAAGTCAGCAACTTGGAAATCAATCCGAGTGTCCCAATTGGCATAGGCTCAAGCAGTTGGGCCATCTTCTGCTGCTTTCCTAAGCATATCATCAGGGAGCAGGACTGGAAGTGGAGCCTTTGGAACCTGAATCAGTAATCATATGGGATGCTGGTATCACAGGTGGTGACTTAACCCACTGCACTACAGCAGCCCACCTGTGAACCTATCTTTTCACTTCAGTCTGTTTTGGTCTAAAGGTAACTAACCAGGAAGAGAAGGGGCTTTAAACCACTGTGGAGAACAGAAAGATTATATAATCAAATACTCCGAATAATCATTTAAGGACTTGATGT